GCCGATGATATGTCTGAAAGAGCAACAAATATGAAACAATAACCACCTAACTAAACACATTACACCTTATAATTTCTTTTCTTTAGCTGTCGTTTCATCTATAATACTCTACAATTTTACCTTTAGTGATGAAGAAAATTTTTCATATAGTAAACGTTACCGACTATTGCTTCCAAACATATCGCAACGCGCAATTTCCCATAGGGGCAGTTGTAGGCACCGGGTTGCAAAGCACCATTGCATTGTTCTAATAGGGAAATATTTCACCGATCCCATGATGCCAACTTGTTATTTTAAGCCAAGTAGACCATTGCCAATATAATATTACTATTACCATTTACACCATGTTTATTTTATCAGATGCAAAATTGTATCCTCTTTATTCTGATAAAAAAAAATCATTTTTCGTTAACCGATGCATATAGCAGTGTTGCCCCCACTGCCCACTATGAGGACTGACAGCAATATATCATTTTTTCCATTAAACTTGCCGTTATAAAAAACTTCAATTTCGATTTTCAATTTCCAACATTTCATTATCATATTTTAAACAAATCAAAACAAAGAAAAGAAAAAAGAACAAAATGTCATCTTATAATTGAGCATGACATTTATAATAAAACGACATAAATGATGGAATAATTGAATTTACAGATGTTTCAATGTTTTACATGTACATGATTATCAATTTTTAAAAATAATTATTTTTTTTTTGGTAATGAGACGATTCATTGCAAAATTAGTCTGAAATTTCAGATTGTAACAAATGAAATGTTTTAATAAATGCAAATTACCTGGTATTTAAATTACAGTTTAATTTAGTAATGTTATAGTAAATTTCATTTGATATTGTAAATGATTTTTATTTTAACTTTACTATGGCCATATACATTTTGATTGAAATTATTCGATGTGTACGTCCTTTTATAATATATTTTGATGTATCAATAATTTATTTACTGCTTTTGCTTATACTCTGATTTGACAATTACATCCAGCTTATAAAATTTGTTGGACACAATGAAGTAACACACAAATGTACATGTTATGAAAAATAAAAGTACATGGAGGAGGAGTTGCTATGTCAGGAATGATATTGCTTTTACTACCAGAACTGATTTTTAAAAATGTTTTAATGATGAATTTGTTTCTTTTATTGAAATTCAATTACCAATGACCAAACCATTTCTTGTTAGTACTATATATAGACCTCAAAGAAGTTCTTCTTAACTTCTTGATAAGTTACTTCTGCTTGCTTTTATTTCAAAAGCAATGTGCTTTGAACTGAACAAATGCATTTGTTTATAATGCATTATTAAAATCATATTGTTTTAACTTTAAATGTCTGCTTACTCTTTTGAAATTAAATCGTTTGATTCAAAATCATCTCTATTTTATTTCAAATGAGGGAAACCGTCTCCACATGCACCCACTCAAAGTTTGATAACACAAATTAATGATTTCTTTCCTCCGAATTTTAAGACGTTTTGAACTCGTTCTTCCAAATTCAACATACTTGATCTCCTTCGCTTGTTTACCTGTATTTTTCATTAAACCGTCTCCGCGTAGTCAGCCAATCAATGCATTTCGGATTTCACAACCATGAGATGCTCCTAGAAACATAAACAAAGTATGTTAATTAAGATAGAATGAGATCACAAAACAAAACAAAAAAATGCTGGTAATCTAAAAACTACCTCTGTTACAACTTTGCCAGGAAAGACTTACAAATAATTTACTTCTGGAAAAAAACGTAAATGGTACCGATGCAACATTTACGTCATTGCAACAGCATTTCAGGAATTCGTGAAAAATGTAATTTGCAGTTGTTATTAGCGTGGATTAAAAGTCAGATGATAAGATATAATAAGATATAAATCATAGGACAAATATATCTCAAAGTGCTATCACATGTGTGCCATTATATAAACACATTGTACATTACTATAATGTATAATTAATTTCACATTAACACACTCTTCCAAGTTTCTACAAACGGAAGTACTACAATATAAAAAATATGTTTAGATATTTATTATAATTACGACAAAACCCTCTTAAATTAAATCAATCAATCAATCAAACGATCGATCGCTTAATTACTCGACCAATCAATAAATCAATCAATCAATAGATAAACCAGTTATGACGTAAAATTCCTCTAATTGTTTAAAATGTACTAAATATTACCGGACATTGCCACTATCAAACAAATTTTAAATATTTCGCCAGGAATTCTCCGTCGACGCGCAATTTCCCACGAGGGCGGTTATGCCACAGTGCTGCTATACTTACAACCACTGCATTGTTTTGAGAAATACTTCCCACGACGCCAGCTTGTTGATGAGTAGACAACAGTCAACGTGTGATTTGCATGAAATTCGCATAGAAATGAATGCTTAAAAAAGTCTAGGTGATTTTTTTCACCAAGAATCTAACAATTATTTTATATTTCAACTGAAATTCTTTTGAAACTGTTATTTTTTGTCATTGTTATAATGCAGAATTTGAAAATCGATCAGTTCTAATTAATTATAGCCATATTTGTCAGACTGGTTGCAGCTGTAAAACGCCTAATGGTGTAATAATAAATTATAGCAGATGTTTTAGGGATGTAAAAATTATACATGTAAGATACAAATTACACTTAAATGAGATGAATGGACGTTTGAATTTATATTAAAACTTGTAAATTAGCATAATGTAGATACATACATTATAGCATTGTTTTTTATTAAATAGTTCGTACTTAAAAATGCTCCTTCGCTTTTCAATCTGTATTGAAATATTTCCAGTTTATTTTTTCAAACAGTAATTATGTTTTGTAATATTTAATATACCACGCCAAACGCAAAATTGAGCCAAGTAAAGTACCGGTATAATAGTAGCATTCAATATATATGTATACGTTTAAAAACAAATCCAAATCGTTTATTTTTGTTCAGTATATTTCATTTTATGTTTGTATATTTTAATGTTTCTTTTTCTTCACATATGACTTTGATAAAAATCTAGTTTACTTAACATATTCCTAGTTTAAAGTTGTTTTCTGCTAGAGACCCGAGCGATTATTCTTACGTGACGTAACAATTTGATCTCACGAAACGACTCTTAAAACAAACTTTAAACTTTCGACCAAATTTCATTTTCGATCACCTGTTAACGCCAGATTCAAATTTAAAGAGCAGAACGCACGGATACGTCAATTTTAAAGGGACACCACTGAGGTTTTTTTTGACATGACGGAATTGGAAAATTCCTGCGAGATTTGTGTACCATTAGATATAAGTCTAAACCTATAACTTGTGTGAAAATCCTCAGATCATTCCCTTGCCCAGATTTTCCAGAATGTTCATTTTCATTGTTCAAAATGAGCACACAATTAACGCGTTGAAACGCTTTTCACTCAAATAGGGCTAAGAGTTGCAGTTACTGACGATTTTCAATTTAATTCTGAGTAAGTTCCTTTTGCAGATTTTAAGGATTAGAAATATTACTATGGTAAGAAAATCGCCCCGCATTTCTTTGATAATACATATATCAAATACAAAATATGACCCGTGCTGATCTCATGTGATTACTTTATTCGATGGTCATCTCATATTAACTTCTTATAACACTCTCCACAACTGCTTTTGTATATCCAAATAAATAAATAAAAAAAAAAATTAAGGAATAAAAAAATGAATGAATGAATGAATAAATGTGAAATCGCTCGTGAAGCGTAAATATCTTTGTATGTGTATGATAGAGTCCTTATTTATTGACAGATGTTCAGATATTTCACTATATGGCGACTTTTCTGTTTTCCATGGATCAGTCGTTTCCCCATATTTCTAATGCATGTATGTTATCTGAAAGGGTTTGGACATTTTGATTTGATCTGATAGTTGGCACAGACGCTTAGGGTTTGGAGCTCAAAACGCCTTTAAAATCCAAATAAAATGCATATTTGTCAATCCCAGCACATGTACTGATCATATATATCAAAAAACTTAATATATGCCGTTTTGAAAAAAAATCATATTTCAACAACTATAATAATACACATTATTATAGATGTTGAAATATGATTTTTTTTTCAAAACGGCTTATATTAAGTTTTTTGATATATATGATCAGTACATGTGCTGGGATTGACAAATATGCATCTTATTTGGATTTTAAAGGCGTTTTGAGCTCCAAACCCCAAGTGTCTGTGATAGTTGGGTAGACTTTACCTTTGACACTATCAGAAGATCATTAAAGGAAAGGGACATCATACTGAGCCCTGGCGGACACCTGGAAGGACTGACTTTCAATTACAACTTTCTGGGAGCGAGACATAAGGAATTGTACCCTCATGGCTTATGCCTAATCTTTTTAATGTACTCACAAGTTTGTGATGGTCCACCTTATCAAAAGCCTTACTGAAATCAATGACTATGACATTAGCTTGTTGACCACTTTCAAGATTGTCATGCATGAATTTCCTGGGAGAAGCTACGTTTTGACGTTTTGAAGCCGTGTTGATAGGGGCTGTTTAAGGACGTTGTGTTTTTCATTAAAATACATTATATCGGACATTAAGTTGTCTTCCATCATTAAGACTCAATGCATGTGAGGGAGATAGGTCTCTATAATTCCTTGCTTTGCATTTTGGGCCTTTTTGTAAACTGGGGGCAATTATTGCATGCTTCCAGTCATCTTTGACAATACCTGTTTTTGAATAGATTTGGAAGATGCGGATCAGTATGGGAGTAACCTCTTGATGAAGCTGGGGATATCTGGTCAGGACCAGCTAGTATGAAACTAAGACAGTGAAAGTTGTTTAAGTGAAACATTTAAGGACATCTAGTTTATATTTTTCAATTCCTTTGTAGGGCCTAATGTACATGTCTATATTTTCTAATTGATTAATAAAGAGTATGTATGATCAATTTTTCATTTATATGACAATACATTCATGCAAGCAAAAAGGGTATAGCTTCTTTTGTCTTTTGTTATCATTGACCCGTGCAGGAAAATCGATAGACCCATCTGACCATCACGTGGGTCAGTTACCACTAAAATATTTTCATGCTCAGTTCGAAAGTTTTGAACACGTGAGTTGCTTTTAACATGCTATTCCGATACGAAATAGCTAAAAATGTTTGCAGTTTTAAGAAGATATTGTTATTTTCAGTTTGCTTTTAATGCATTACATGAGTTCTTTCAGGAAAGCAAGTTATTGTTTATATCATATGTTTTCGCGACGGTATGCCTAAAATACGAAAGTGAGATTTTTGACGAAAGTGAGCGAAAGTGAGCGAAAGTGACTTTTAAAATAGTAATTATAACATTTTGATAGACTTATAAAACAAACTTGCAGTTTATAGACGTATATTTTTAGAAAATAATTATATTTATTAACAGAAATAATCATAATGATGATTTAATCGCAACTAATTTGCATAATTTCTATACACAAGTTCTTATATCTTCCTTTCGCTCACATTGAAAAATACGAAAGTGACTTATAAAACATTAAATATTCTGTTTTAATTGAAATTTTTACTAAAATTACAATTTGTAGATCTTGATGATACCTATTTTTTAAAATAATCATTATGATGATTTAATCGCTATTTATTTGCATTATTTTTATACACAAGTTCAGATATCTTCCTTCGCTCAGATTGAAAAAAAATACGAAAGTGACTTCAAAATATCAAATATAGCAATTAATTTAAATCTATATTAATATAAAAGATTGTAGACGTATAGTTTTGGAATTTGATAGTATCTATTTTTAAAAATTATCATTATGATATTTAAATCGCTATTTATTTTCATAATTTCTATACACAAGTTCAGAAATCTTTCTTTCGCTCACATTGAAAAATACTAAAGTGACATATCAAATATTAAATATACTGGTTAATTTGTTTTTTTTTTTACTAAAATTGCTCTAAGTAGACGTATATTATCAGAAATTGATGATATTTATTTTCAAAAATAATCATTATATATGATGATTTAATCGCTATTTATTTGCATAATTTCTATACACAACTACATAGGTTCTCCTTTCGCTCACATTGAAAAATACGAAAGTGACTTATAAAACATTCAATATACCATTTATTTTGAATTTATATTAATATAACAGTAGACGCATAGTTTCAGAAATGAATAAAAATTACTTAAAAATCATTATGAGGTTTTAATATTCATGCATTTTCATTATTTCTATATAGCAATTTCAGAGATCTTACTTTCGCTCACTTTCGTATTTTCAATGTTAGGGAGAGGAAGCGAAAGTGATTTTTAAAATATCAAATATAACGTTTAAATTGCATTTAAAATTAATAATGCAGTTTGTAGACGTATATTATCAAAACAAGTATCTTTAATCAATATGATTTGATCTTCATTTATTAGCATAATATTAATACACAAGCTCAGACATTGATCTTTCTTTCGCTTACTGTGAGCCTGACGAAAGTGACTTACAGAATATCAAATATAGCATTGAAATAGAATTTCATGATAATATTGCAGTTTGTAGACGTATGTTATAAGCTATAGTAACTATCATTTTTATAAAACTTAATATGTTAAGATGAAAAATGAAATTTATTATGTAAACTATATTTGGCAAAAACATGAATTATACAATTTATGCGTTAGGGCCACGATTTACAGTTCTCTATTTCTTACATCATCTTTTCGGGCAGTTTTTATTTTTGATTAACGATAGTGTTACCTTACATTTAACATTCTGTTGATATATTATATTGTAATTATACTGTTTGATTCTAATCTAACAGTAATAGGTCTTGAATGTGTTTCTCATTATTATAATGTCTCTTGAAATTCTTAAATGGAATGGTCTTATGTAGGTTTTATGTGAATAGTTGTATATATGTTTAAAAATGCATCTATACGAATGAGACAAAATAAAGTATGAATATGTTTACATGCAAACACGTGTTGTCATATCATTTTCGCATCCACTTTAATTGATAGTACACACGACGGTGACCGCATGACGCTTTAATCCCACTAAAGTATTATTATAATCCAATTATAGGTATGTAACTGATGACACTTGCCCGTTTGTTTATTGAGTGGACAATTGAATTAACCTTTCTTCTGCACCACCATAGATATCTTGCACGGATTAAAGTGGCAGTTATTACGCTCATCCAGGTGTAGATGAGCAATGTACATGTTAATTTGAAAAATAATTTAGAATTTCCCATCATTGTTAAAATAATATTTCACTATGAAAAAAGGTATTAAGTAATCCACGGAATTTTCTATTAATATCGTACTATATATATCGGTAAAGTTCAATCTTTTTATAAGTTAGGATTTTTTTTTTATATTTTGTGCAAGTCATTTTCATCATCAGTTATAGGTCAGTCACCATGAAAACATGAATAATAATGAAAATGACTCATTTATTTTTTATTGTAAAAAACATTAATATCGTGAATATTGACATTGACTTTTGTCCGATTAAGTCACTTTCGTATTGTTCAATGTGGGCAAAAGTAAGATATCAGAACAGGTATACAACAATTATGAAAATACATGGATATTAAATCATCATAATGATTATTTTTTTTATATATATATATTTTAATCATTTCTGAAAACATGCGTCTTTCAGCGCTATATTTGACATGTTTTAAGTCACTTTCGTATTTTTCAATGTGAGGGAAAGGAAGATCTTTTAACTTGTGTAATGCAAATAAAGGGCGGTTAAATCATCATAATGATTATGTTCAAAAATAAATATAATTGACTTTTGATATTGTACGTCTACAAATTAATTGCAATTTTAGTAATACATTCAATTTAAACAGTATACAAATGTATTTGATATTTTGTAAGCCACTTTCGTATTTTTCAATGCGAGCGAAAGGAAGATCTCTGTATAAACTTGTGTACTGTATAGTATAAATGGCGATTTAATCATCATAATGATTATCTTTGAAAGTAAATATTATCATTTTCTGATATTATACGTCCACTTTGTGCAATAATAGTATAAATAATTTCAATTTAAACGTTATATTTTATATTTTAAAAGTCACTTTCGTATTTTTCAATGTAAGCGAAAGGCAGATATAAGAATTTGTGTATATGAATTATGCAAATAAAAACCGAATAAATCATCATTATGATTATTTTTTATAATAAATATAAGTAATTTTTAATAATATACGTCTACAAACTGCAATTTTATTGTTTAAGTCTATCAAAACGTTACAATTAATATTTTAAAAGTCACTTTCGCTCACTTTCGCTCACTTTCGTCAAAAATCTCACTTTCGTATTTTAGGCAAACCCGTTTTCGCGATGTTTATTTTTAAACATTCGAAAATAGATCTAGATCTATTAGATCTATTTGAAAAAATGCTCAAAACTGGCGATATGCATTGATGGTAGTCTACTTTAGACTGAATATACATATGAATAGGTCAAACAACTTAACCCATTACTTCATATACACGCCTTTTAACGCCTTTTTCACCCCCCCCTTTTTTTGTTGTCTCAAATGATGAAAAAACGCCTTATTTAGGCCCCAAACACTTGTTTTTGTTTGAGAAATGTTGTTAAAAAAAGTGACCTCTTTTTCGGCGCGGCCCCCCAACCAAAAGATACATCAGGGGGTTGCCAGAAGGGGGATGTGCCCCCTTCTGTTTGGGGGGTTTGAAGGGGGGCGGAGTCCCCCTCATCGCCAAGAAAATTTTGGACTTGTGAGAGGCTGTAAATGACCCCAGATTGATCATAAGGTAACGTGTAACCAACGCTGAAAAGCATTTGACTCTATCTCAATCCATTGAAAAGTTGCAGCACTTTGAAATCAATTTTGATGGAAAAAATCAACGCAAAATAGTGATTTTTGGCAATTTTGAGATGTCCCCTTGTTGCCATGGTAACAGAAAATTTAAGCCTGAGCATGTTGTTTCAAGGGCAATGGTCCAGTCAACATTTGTGCCAAGTTTGATTAGTGTTGAAGGAGTTTTTATAGTATTATAGCAATTTGAACTTGTAACGGGAGACTTTTCAATGAAAACAGCCATTTTTCACAAAATGCTCATGAAGCAATGGGTTAATGAACAGGGCTTCCACTAGGATTTTTTTTTAGGAAGTCAGGACTTCCTTTCAAGGAATTTTGGAAGTCATGAGGTAAATTTCTGGAAGTCAGTTGTTCTTACGCGTATAATTTTCATGTTTCAATGTTTGATTTATAGTATGGGATGATACAAGTAAAAGCAATTATTTTAATCAAAAGATTCTGAAAATGTCATTCCTTTTATTGTTTTAAGTTCAAAGTATCTTTACATGATTGTTGGGTAAATATTTTCAATAGAAGTAAGAACGTTACCCTGAAAAGGACTGTATTGTTGTTATTCAAGGACAGTGGTAACCGTGTAGAACCCTTCAGTGATAACATTCAAATAATTGCTCATTGGTATAACAAAAAAAATAATATTTCCAGAAAACTTTTAATTCTTTAATCAATCATGGTACAAGTAGATTCTGAAATGTGTATGATGGGTTCTTCTTTTTCTACCTCTGGATCAGTACCATACAGTTGTCTCATGTGATCAGCCTGCACAGCATTTTTGTGGATTCATTGTGTTTTAAAAGGGTGGATCTCTGTAGATTTCCTGAAATAAAAAAAAACATGACATCCTTTAGCATTGTTATTTTTCTTATTTGTAAAATAAAAATTGTTGTTTAAATATCTCTTGTGTTTAAAATTATTTACTACAGTATTCATAACACATTAACAACCCAAAATGGTTAAATTTAATCAGGCTTGTAAATTGAAAGTTTTATGAAAATAATTTCGAACACCGTTTTTGACCAAATTAATTTTTTTAATTACATTTTTGAGATACGCCAAATTGCAGAAGTGAGCGTTGAGACATTTTGAGAGTGGGTAGGGAAAAAGATTTTTAAATGTTACTTTGCTTCTCATAATTAGCGAGTGAAAAAAAATAAAATCAAATCAACATCTATAGAATGTGTGAAAATAAAACGTCTTTAACTTCAAAAAGGAAAAAAAATCAAAAGACAAAAACACGCTTCGCCGACTCGG